TTTTTATTTCTTTTTCTATGTATGTTTTTATTATTTTTATTTATTATATATATTTCTTTTATTCTTATTCTGTTATTATTTATATTTTTTATTTATTTTATTCATTCGATTGTTTAATAAGAAATATATTCAATTTTATTATTTGTTTATTATTATTATTTATTTTTATTTATATATTAATTTGATTAATATATTTATATTATATCTATTTTTTGTATTATTATTATTATTTATATTTTGTATTATTATTTATTTATTATTATCATTTTTATTTATCATTTTATATTATATTATTCATTATTTAATGAATTTAATATTCATTATGAAATCATTTATTAATCATTTCATTTTATAATGATATATTATTTAAATTATTTTGTTATATCACATTGATTATTTAATGATAGAATTTAATGATATAAGATTAATATAATAGATATAAATAAAATGATGAATATTGAAACAATCATTTAAAATCAAAAATAAATAATAAGAAATAAGAATATAATATAAATAATAAAGAATAAAGAAAAGAAAGATAATAAAAGAAATAAATAATAAATATAAATCAAATGATAATAATAAAAACAAATGATAAATAAATGATAAATAAATAAGAATAATCAAAAATATAATAATAATAAAAATTAAAATTAAATCAAATCAAAATAATCAAAATAAGAAATGAAAATATGAATCAAATGAAAATAAATAAAATAGAAAAATAAGAAATAAAGAAATAATAAGAATAAAGAATAATAATAAGAAAGAAAAGAAATATAAATAAACATAATATAAATTAAAATAAAATAAGAAATGAAAAATACAATAATAATGATAAATAATAAAAATATGAAAGAATAAAGATGATATTAATATAAAATGATGATATTAAAGAAATTATTAAAATATAAAATAAAGATAAAAGAAAACAATAAAATATAAAATAAATTCATTTTAATATAAATCATTTAAATAATTAAACAATAAAATTATTTTATAATATTGAAATATTTCATAAATATAATAAAAATGAACAAATAAAAGAATAGAGAAAAATAAATAAAAGAATAATAAATAATAAATTAAAATAATCAATATATTAAAAAGAAAAAAAAATAAATAATACATATAAATAAAAATTATAAAAATAAAAATGAATAAAATAAATTATATCAATAAAATAATGTTAAATAATTTGTATCAATAAATTAAACGCTTTTTTATTGCATATTTCTAATTTCTGTAATAAAAAATACATCCATTATTTCATCATTATTTTCATCATTTATTATCTCTTTTTGAATTATTCATTTTTATCTTCTTTCATTTTATAATCTCAACATTCTACTTTTATTCTTTTCATCTTCTTCTACTTCATAATTTCACTTTTTTCTTTTATATCATTCTTTCTCTTCATTTTTCTCTTATTTCATTTTTTTTCGTGCCCTTTCTTTATATTCTTTCATTTTGGTTGTAATTAATAATATTTGATTTTAAATTAGTAAATTGTTCAATTTATAATTTGTTATTTTCCATTTTCTTTATCACTAAGTCCATATATTTATTCTTATCATTTATTATCTGTTATTTTTTATTATTCTTTCTTATTTTATGTTTCTTGTTATTTTCTATTTCACTGTTATATTCTACTACTATAATTATCATTTATTTTTTTATTCTTTTCATTGATTATTTTTCATTTATTATAATCAATTATCTATTTCATTGAAAATATTTTATTCATCTTCTTTATTTATCTTCTTATTAGAAATTTCTTATTATTCTAAATACTTTTGAAAGTTTGATTATAAATTTTGATATCTTCTATTTTGATATTATTTAATTCACTTTATTATCAATTTAATGTTAATTATCAAATATTTTATTTATTTTGTATCTTATTTATTCATTATTATATTCATTAATCTCTTCTTATACATTTGTTGAATTTAATATTAGTAATTACATTTTAATAAAGTACTTATTTTCATTTAGAATATATCACTCTATCTAAAAAGAGAAAAACAGTTTAGAACAAGAATTACAATAATAAGAGTAAATGTATATAATTAGAATTATTCAATTTTCATACTAATATTTTCTTTTTTCTTAGTTCTTTATTTTTTATTTCCATGAATGATTTTTATTCTAAATTTAAATTAACTTCCTATTTCATTTTTCTTTATTTACAATAAATATTATATTACTTACTTTATTTAAATATTAAACAAGTTATTTTAAATATTTTATATCTGAATCGAGTATAGTTTCTTGAAATAATATGAGTTAATTTATTGAAGTATTTGAAATCAAGATCTATTTGATCTTACTTCACTTGTTTAATTCGTTATATTTTTTTTCTTACACTATTAAAATGATTTGATATTGTATACTATTACTATTAGATTATTATTATGGATATGAAGTAGTTACAAATAGAGATTTACAATAAGTGATTAAATTATCTAAGAAAAATAAAAGGTAAATCAATTCAATCAAATTAATAATTGTTGTAATTCTGCCATTATTTCACTGTCTTGTTTATTTAAGAAAGGTTTTGATTCTAAAGATAGGGATTGAACAATTGATTTTGCTTGAAGAATAATTGAATGGTATCTTTCATTTAATTTATTTTGTTTTATAAATTCAAGGAATAAAGGAAGAAGTAATGAAATACGAGTCATTAATATTCCTTTAATATTATCCATTAGTACAGTGATAGTAGTAAATAATAATGAAATAGTTACTGGTGGTAATTGATTAATAAGAGCAAAATGTTGAAGTAAAATATGTAACAATTGATTAGAAATAGGTGCTAATCCTAATTTAAAAGAAAGAATTAATTGTTGCAATAATTGGTGAGTTTGATTAATTTTTTCATAATACTGAACTCTTTCATTTAAATCTAACCCATTAACACCGTTCTCTCTAACTCCTCCAATTTTTTTAATGTAATTAAGTACTTTATCAAATTCAATATTTCCATATTTGAAACAACACAACAAAGCCTGATGTTTTTCATTTTCGTTTGAAAATTGATGTTCTTCAATTTTATTCCATAAATCTCCTTTTATTTTAGAATTTATTAAAACACCATCTTCAACGCTACTCTTCCAACTAACATCAGCAATTCGTGAAATTGCACTTCCATTAATTAATTCTAAGTCAATAGCAGCTGCAATTTTTATGAGGGTTTCATGAGAGCATGACTTAACAACCCTAGGAACAATAATTGTTTTAATAATGTTTTGTCCTTCACTTCTTAAATGAGGAGATGGGATCATCCTTCCTAACAACGCAATAAATGGATCTACTGTGGTTTCTGGAAGTGCTTTAAAAGTATTAATTAATTTGTCAATATTCTTTTCAATC